ACAGATTCTGTACGCCCCGCGGGAACAAAGCCTCCGGGCTCCGTGGGTCCCCGCAGCCACCTTGTGGGACTGCAGTGGGCACCCAGCCCCTCACCCCCGGGAGGGCGGGGATTCAGCGCCCCTCCACACGCGCACACAAGGGCCTCGGTGCCCCAGCTGCACCCGTTCTCCCTGGCACCCGTGTGCAGAGCCTGCCACGGAGGTGCCCCGCTGACTCCCCAGCTGACCTGAGGTCTCTGCAGAGATCTTTGCCCGCGATCCCCCATTCTTGGGACGCCTGCGGAGGAAGGGGCTGCGCCCAGCTCCACGCTGGGTGGAGACAGCAGAGTTCTCTGAGGTCTCTAGGGGTGCGGAAGGGACAGCATTTTCAGAAAGCCAAGCTTGCTGTAAGAGGGTTAAGGCCTGAGATTAATCCCCATAATGACCTACGTATCAGCTGCTAGTTTCTCCCCTCCCTGGACCTCAGTTTCCCTACCTAGAATTGGCTCATACGCCCTCTAAGGTCCCATCCAGCTCTGTCACATGATTTCCCCTCAAGTCAATGGTTCCTTCCTCCTTATCACCCTGCACCCTGTGCTCCCAGTCTGCTTGTGACCTCTGTTCTGCTGTGGAACTCAGTGGCTCCGAGGACCTCTAGCCACCAAAGTCTTAGGATGGGTTTGGCACCCTTGGAACCCTCCTTGTCCCTGTCCCACTGGATGGGGTAAGAGGTACAGCAGAGAGCCCTTGTCTGGCAGTGCCAAGTAGCGCATCAGGATATTCTGTCCTGGCTGAGTCCCACTCTGCTCCACAGGCCAAGATGAAGGAGTTGGGGGTTTGAAGCATCTCCCATCCACCAGAGGCAGGCCCAGAAGAAGTGAAAGTCTCTGAGTGGAGCCTAAGCTGACACTTTTTTTCTGGAGTTCTCTATAGTCTAGCACAAGGTTGGGGACAGCATTCAAATCAACACCTCCTGCCAGCAGCCAGAGAGATCCTGCCCCACCCACCACTGCCCTCTCCCTTGCTAGCGCTTCACTGATGGCATTACCAACAAGCTGGTGGCCTGCTACGTGGCGGAGGACATGAAGGACTGCGTGCTGGTCCGGGTATACGGGGAGCGGACGGAGCTGCTAGTGGACCGTGAGAATGAGGTCCGGAACTTCCAGCTGCTGCGAGCACACGGCTGTGCCCCCAAACTCTACTGCACCTTTCAGAATGGGCTGTGCTATGAGTACGTGCAGGGTGTGGCCCTGGAGCCGGAGCACATCCGGGAGCCCGGGCTCTTCAGGTAAGAGGGGTGCTGGGGGGACCGTTCGTCTCTGTTCTCCGGCCTCAGGCTTTGAAAGCCTTGCTGTAGAGTTGGTGCCATGCAGAGACTCACAAGATCTGTGAGCTTCACCGAAACGGCATGACAGGTGTGTGTGCTGCTGCACACTGCTTTGCAGACAGAGGCACTGGCTTTCTGCGGTTTTCCAGTGGGGTCTGCTAGAAGGATGAGTTGTCAGGAGGAAAAGTGAGAGTCTTGGTGACCATGGGAGCATCTGATTCCCAAAGTGCAGCCACAGTCTGCTTCTTAATGCCATGCCTCACACCTCTGCCACCCCCAGTCTGGTCTGGAAACATCCCAGAGCCTGGGAAATGAAATCTGAGCCAAATCCCCAGGGCACCCAGGGCTTCCTGCTGCTGCGCTCCAGTCTTCTGCCAAGAGCTCAGGTTTTCAGGGAAAAGGAGCCCTTTCCAGGGTCAGCATGGCTTTACCACTGCAGAGGTACCTCCTGCTGGGCTGAGCTCTGGGCTCCCTAATGAGTGGGAACCCAGGTTTGGGGTGCTGCTGAGGCCGCCTTGGCCCCCAAGAAGCCCCTCTAGTAAGCACCTGGATTGTAGCGCCCAGAAACTGCCCTTAACCTTCAAGCCCTGTGAGTGCCGTCTGGGGCCTAGGAGGGGGAGATCCAAGGAAGAGCCTCTGGTAGTCTCTGACTTCTCACTTTGCCAGGCTGTAGTGAGTGCCAGGCAGTGTCTCCCCTCCCCCACAGTGCCACATGGAGGGCATCAGACTAAAGTGAGGCCCGAGGCAGGCTGAGGCATACTCCTGACTGGGCAGAGCAGTGTGGGTCTGCCTGGGGTCCTTGGCATCTGCCCTGTCCAGTCCAGGGGGAAGGAGTCTTGTGTATACCCGGGGCACTGAAGCCCACATGGAGGTAGGCCGGGATCGGCTTTGCTCCTTCACTTGCCACCCATCCGCCCTGGAGAAAGTACCTGACAGTGTACCTGACCAGCTCTCTCTGCATAGCCCCTGGCTACCCCTCCGGGCACTCAGGATCTGAGAGCCCCACCTCCATGCTGGTGAGGGAGTCTGCGGCTGCTGGGGCCCCGGGCTGTGGACTTCGAGCTGTGTCTGTGTGCGTAGCTGTGTGTCAGCAGCGTGCGAGAGACGGGTACACCGCAGTGGGGTCGGGCTCCTGCTGACCTGCTCCGAATGCACCCCAGCGGGAGATGTGAGGTCTGAGCAGGTGGGGCCGCCATCCTGCCCTCCCCGGGTCTTGTGCAAATAAGCTGCAACCTTGGCAGGTCCCCACCACTCCGGGTCCCCCCTACCTCTGGGAGCCTCATGCCGTCACTCAACCCCTCGGTGGAAACAATTACCACTGTCAGGAAGATTGAAGAGGGATTTAGGTTCCATAATAAGAACTTGGCATTTGGGGGAGAGCCAGAAAGCAAGAGAGGTGTAGGAGGCTGGCCCTTGATTTCCCCAGGATACACCAGGACCCCTCCGGTGGAGGTGGCTGCCTTTGGGGAAGGCCTTACCCTAATGGGTTCCCCTGAACTCAACCCCACCCCCTGCTGAGGATCTGCAGCAGGAAAATGCTGAGTGTTGAGGTTACTTTCATTGCTATTCAGACAACAGCCCTGTTGATATTCAAGCAAACGCTCTGTGCTTGCTGTGTTCCGTGGCTTCCTTGGGGACGCATGGCCATGCTTGGGTCTCAGGTCTCTTTCCCTGCCTTGCCCAAAGGCCAGCCGGTTCCTTCCTGTCCCAGGCCGCTGGCCTCCCCAGGAAGGGCCTCCCTTACCCACAAAGCTGCTGCCACACCCCTGCCTCTGCCCCCTTGAGAAGATAGGAGCCCTAGGGGCTTCCGAGCCCTCAGGCTGCCCTGTTGTCCTCATGGGGTACGGTCTGCCCCTTCCAGGGCCTGGCGAGTGGAAGGGGTGCCCCCAGCATGGCTCCCACCATCTGTCCAACAGCCAGTGCCTTTGTTGTCTTTCCCAGTGGAACCTGGCTGTTGGAGGCTTGTCAGCAGCTGAGGCTGGGGCTGCAGAAGGGCACTGGCTGGCAGGGTCAGGGGATCCCCTCTGGGATGCAGGCCTTGCAAAAGGGGTCCTTATCAAGCCTTCACTCCTGACCCACAGTCCTCTGTCCACCCCCGCCTTCTCCCAGCAACCTTCCCTGCCGCCCACTCCTCCTCACCCGGGACCTTGGATAATGTCCACAGGCGGACTCGAAAATAGAACGCTGGTTTGTTTTGTGTCCTTGGCACCCGGCTGCCAGCATCAACTCCCTGCCGCAGAGGAAGGGGCTCGCTGTTTCCCTCCCTCCCTTGGCCCTGCTGATGAGCCATTTCTTCCCTGCCTGGCATCATCACCCACTGATCTCTTGGTGGGAAGGCACGTGTTGTCACCTCCTCAGAGGACAGAGCAAGGTCCCCATGGGGAGGAAGGCACCGCCCCTGTGCCCAGGTGCCCTCTGCTCTTGTGGGCTGCGTGGGAACACTAGTGTGGGGTAAGCCACCGGCTGGGGGCCAGCAGCCCCCTGCTTTGCTCTGCTCTCTGCAGAGCCCAGTCTGGGATTGCAGTTTCAGGGCTCCCCAGCCTGGGGCTGGAGAGGACGCTGCTGGGCTGAAGGTCTTGCTGCGTTCTCATGCCTTTGCTGAAACCTAGGGCTCTTGGAAGATTTGTGACCATCTCACGATGACCTTCTCTACTCCTCCCGCCTTCTGTTGCAGGTTAATTGCCTTAGAAATGGCCAAGATTCATACCATCCATGCCAACGGCAGCCTGCCCAAGCCTGTACTCTGGCAGAAGATGCACAGTTACTTCTCGCTGGTGAAGAACGAGATCAACCTCAGGTAGGAAGCCCTGGGGGGGTCCGGTGCCATAGCTGCTGCCTTGCTCTGCTCACCCCCTCCCTGTCCCCCGTCCACCCACATGGGGGCTCAGGAACACAGGGCCCAAGGTGGGGGCGCTGAGAGCCTCCCATGCAGCCCCTGCAGGCCTGGCGTTGAGCCTCTGCCTGCATGCAGAGTTGGGTGGGTGGACTGCATCTCAGGAGTGCAGCTCAGCAGTTGCACACACAGGCACTCCTTCCTCCTTGAGTCTTCTCATTGTGTAGGAGCTGGGGTCTGGGGCAATTTCTGCCCATTTTACTTAGAGAGGGAGCTGAGGGTCAGAGACCACGCCTCGCCCAGGGTCAGGCTGTCGGGCAGGACTTCAGTCTCCCAGTCCACGCTCTTTCTGCCTGAGCTGCCTATGGACATGGGAGGGCAGGGCCCTCTGGGAAGGGGAGGGGCTGCACGGCCCTGGGACACTGCTTCCCAGGCCGTTCCTGCGCCCCACTGTGGGTCCTGAGGCGTGCTGTCTGCTGTGCTGCTCTTTCCGAGTACAGAGGACTGCGCCGGGCCCTTCCCCAGACAGGGCAGGTTCCCCTCTCCATCACCCTGTGGCCCGCGATCCAAGACTCCCCTCTTCCAGATGCTTCTATGCGCTGGAGTGCTGAGGGTGGTACTGGGGCCTGGAGGGCAGAGTGCTGCTCCCAAAAAAAAAAGTCAGTAGCGAGTCCCTAATCCCACCATGAACCCTGCTGCGATTGAACATCACGTTGTTAAGCATATATTTTTTAAACTTTAATTGACACACGATTGTACATATTATGGGGTACAGTAGGACCCCCAGTATGTGTGTCCAGTGTGTTATGCTCGGATGGGGTGATTGGCTTAACCATCACTCATCTGTTACTCTGTTGGGCACAGTTGAAGTCCTCTCTTCTATTTTGCAATGTACAATTAAGTAGGCATTGTTTTAGTTTCAAAGTTTTTGGTAGTAGGGCTTTAGGGTTAACAGGCACTGCTTTGGCACTATCGTCTGTCCAGGGTGGGCCCAGCCTGCCCTCTACCAGGTCATCCTCAAGCCCTCTGTGTCACACGGTGTCTCTGGGATGAGGACTGCCTCTTCCTGAGGATCAGAATGTGTGGAGAACAGGACGCTCTGGTCACCACTGTCATTGATGGATGGGAAACTAAGGGGATGGGCTTTGCCTGCTGACAGCGCAGGGACCGGAGTGCAGGCCTGGTGCTCAGGCTGATGCCGGATACCACAGCTCCCTTGACCGTCATCCCTGTGAAGCTTGGGGGACCTCAGTGGGGGGAGAATGGTCTCCGGAGAGGAGCTGGCTGACCCCTTTTGCTCTTGTCCTACCTTTGAGTCAAGGCAGTTGTCGAGGTGGAAGTTGTTTGAGTCTTTTTTGGGGATGATCCAGGCCCCAAATGCCGAGCCATCGTTTAAACCAGATAAAGCCCTCTGAGCTCTAGTCATTGCCTCATAATCCTGAATACGAACCCAGGCCTTATTTGACAAATACTAAGTCACTGAAATTGGAAACAACAACAAAAAATGGTGGTGATTGTGATACTGGCCCTGCTTTCGAGGAGCGTTGAGTTGGAGCTAAAGAGTGGGTAGCTGAAATGCCGGGCTGACCCGGGCCCAGGCAAGCAGGTGGCAGGAAAGTCGTGGTGGTTTTTGAGCCAGACTGTGGCTTAGGGAGGAAGCTGTTGAGCATCATAAGAGAGGCATTTGGAGGAGGCTTGGGTTGGAGTCTTGACTTGGTGTAGGGCGATCACCCAAGGGAGCCTTGTCATTAAATGGGCACAGTGGTCCCAGTTGCAGAATGCGGGTTCCCCTGGAGTCTGTGCCGAGCAGATTCCGCCTTGCCTGGACCTTGATCTAGTGTCTGGCACTGGACCTCTGGACTCCTTGGCAGTAGCCACCTTGTGAGGGACATTGCTTTGGGCAGATGGGAAGGGGGTGGAGAAGAGGGAGCGTGTCTGGGACCTGTACAGAAAGATCCGGCAGCCTTGATGTCTGCTTGGCCCCAGAGGTGTCCTGGGACTGCCGGGCTGGTAACTTCCTCCAGGTTTGGAGAAGTTGCTGATAAATAAGTTAAGGAGAGGGCAAAGATAAAAAGCCAGGAAGCTGGAATACTTAAAGTCCCCCAGGGAAGAAAGAAATTTTTGCCCTGCTGGGTCAGAGAGCTGAATGGAGAATTGCAGCCCCTTCCTCCCCTCATGCTGTTGCTGGGGACCAGGGAGTGTGGAGGAGAGGACCCACCTGGGCAGAGGAGCCAGCCCACAGCCTTTCAAGAGCCAGCTGGTGCCAGGACCGGAGGTGGAGAAGCTGGCGGTGGCCCAGGTGCCCAGGAGAGGGACGCTGGCAGCTGTGGGAGCTGGGAGGCCTGGACTGCTCCTTCAGTAACCATCTTCGTGGCCTTGGGGTGGGCAAGGCGGGGTCAGACTGAAGTCAGGGAAATGCAGCAGCATCTGATGTCAGAGGTCTGTTAGCAGGAAGCCTCCTCACTCTTTATCTTCCGACAGTCTCAGTCCAAGGAAAAAAGAATCTTAAAAGAAGGCTGCGCCTTTAATAGAGGCCAGAGCAGACCCCATCATAGGCAGATCCGAAGTCCAGTGCAGAGGGCCCCCTCCGCAGGCTTCCTGGCACCAAGAGGCCTTCCCAGAGCCTGAGGGCACCCTCTCTTCAGAAGGGGTGCAGGGCCTCTCTGTGAGGAGACGTGGCTCCCTGTGGATCCTGCGCGGGCTGAGGACTGCTCTCCTCAAGAAGTGAGGAGTCCAGCTGCACCAGAGCTGTGCTGGCCGGGAGGCCTCCTTCCCGGGGCCTCAGGCTCCCCCTGTGGTTAGATTGGAGGATCTAAAATCACCTCAGTTTTGACCTTGAATCCTGGGGCTGGGGATTTAGCTCGGTGGTTCTGCACCTGCTTTGCAAGTGCAAGGACCCGAGCTCAATCCCCGGTACCAGAAAAAAACAAACACAAACACAAAAAACCAAAGCCTAGCAAGGAGGCTCTTCGCTCTTCCTTTTCCAAAGGGGCCATGGGGATGGATTCCCCGGTCACTAATCTCCCTGCATTCTGCCCTGTGGGGAGAGGAGACGGGCCTGTCTCACCCTCAGCCTCCTTCCTGAGCCTTTTCCGCCCTGGCCAAAGAAACACCAAATAACACACCACCACCACCCACCTTGCCCCTGCTCGCGCATGGCCCTGGGCTGTGTGGTTTCTTCAATGTACCCAGAACTCTGTGCGGCGGAGCAGCGAGAGGACTTGAGCTGCGTCCAGTGCCTGTTTCCTTGGGCAGAAATGACCACGGTGGGTGTGTGACAGGCTGGGGCAGACGTGGCCGGGGTGCGTCTCTGTTCCTGCCCTCCACTTACCCGGGCCTGGACTGGCGGGGCCTGGAACGAGGGCACAGTGATAGTGGGAGGAGGAGGAGGGCCTGACTGTCCCTTGGCGTCCTGGGAATGAGCCCAGGCAGCCCTTCGCCTTCTTCCTGGGCCCGAGGGATGAAAGGCCAGGCCAGTGGTCTCTTGGTCCTTCCACCTGTGACGTTAGCTGCTGCAGTGTGAAGGGGCAGCTGGGACATGGCTCTGCCTCCTGAAGAAAGCTCCTGGTGCTGGGCCCTCTGGTGCCCTGGGAGGGGCCTGAGGTGGCACTTTCTCAAGCTTTGGGGCAGTTTCCTCTTAGCTCATTTGTACCTCTCCCCTCTGACCTGTGGGGCTCTTCCTCTGTCATCATGGGCTCTGCACCCTGCTGGCCTTCTGTGTCCTGTGCCTCCTTCCTTACAGTAGCAGAGATGCCACTTAGCCAGTGACTTTCATGGTCTGCCATCTGCTCTTCACACCCAGGTTTTAGTCAGGACTCAGGTCAGGAAGCCATCCCTTCTTGCAGGTGGTGAAAGGGAGGGTCTGAAAGGTTGGCCATTTGTCTGAGGTCTCTGCCGAGGATACAGCTTAGGGCTCTAGGCTGCCAGCACCTGCTCGCTCCCCACCAGCCACCTCTTTGTGGTTTTTGTTTGTTTGTTCTTGGTACCGGGATCGAACTCGGGACCTTGCGCTTGCGAGGCAGGCAGCGGCACCACTGAGCTAAATCCCCAGCTACCAGCCACCTCTTTGCCACGGTTCAGCCTCTCTGCAGATGTCCCCAAGGTGGAGGTGTTGGAGCGGGAGCTGGCCTGGCTGAAGGAGCACCTGTCCCAGCTGAACTCCCCTGTGGTGTTCTGTCACAACGACCTGCTTTGCAAGAACATCATCTATGACAGTGCCAAAGGTACGGCCAGGCAGTAGCAGGGCATGGGCTGGAGGCTCGGCTGGCTTTGGGAGCCTGATCTCAGGCTGGCACATGGAAGGGGAAAGGAGGCCTGGATTTTTACCCTCAATATTTGAGAGAGAAGGGGGAAAGGAAACGAGAAATTGCCATTTAGAAAAGCCTGTCACAAGAAATGACTTGAAATCCTGATTTGGGGGGGTCCTTAACATTAGGACCTTTTGACCACTCCTTGGCCTTCCGAGGACACTGGCTGCTCTGAGCCATCGGCCTGAGCCTCTGGGCCTCCTGACAAGAGTTCTCCCAGGGACCCTTCCATACGCAGCCGGGGATTTGTTCCAGGACCCCTCAAAGATAGATACCAAAGTGTGAGGCTGCCCAGGTTGTTCATAAATGACCCAGCGTTTGCATCAACTTACGCACATCCTCCTGTGTACTTTAAATCATCTGTAATACCTAATGTGATGCAATGTTATGTAAATAGTTTCATTCATATATATACTGGGGTTTGAACTCAGGTCCTTGTGCTTGCGAGGCAGGCGCTGCAACCACTGAGCTAAATCCCCAGCCCAATAATTTCATATTTTATTCTTTAGGGAATGACAAGAAAAAAGTCTGTGTGTGTCTAAAACAAACTCAGCTCTTTTTGTGGATATTTTCAGTCATAGGACGTGGATCCTGTGGGTCTGGAGGGCCAGCTGCTCTTAGCTTTATTTCTCATCTTTAGCCATGCTGATGATAGAGGAGACAGGCGGACCCTGAGGACCCATTCGTGCAAGAGGGATGGCAGGGGCTGGGGAGGGCAGAGGGACAAGTGGCCAGGTGGAAGCAGCTTAGATTGCCGCAGAAGCTAGCAAGGAGCCGCATGTGGTGGCTCGCGCCTGATCCCAGCCCTCAGGAGGCTGAGGCAGGAGGATTGTTATAAGCTCAAGGCTAGCCTGAACTACACAATGAGACCTTGTCTCAAAAAACAAAATAAAAAGACCTAGCAAGGGTGGGTTGGTGCATTCCGCAGGCCTGTGGAAGCTTGACTGGGCCCTATTTCCAGATTGGGCACATACCCTCACGGCCTCTCCACTGTTCCAGGGTGCGTGCAGTTCATCGACTATGAATATACCGGCTACAACTACCAAGCCTTCGACATCGGCAACCACTTTAATGAGTTTGCAGGTGAGGAGGGTCCTACTGTTGGACCTTACCCAAGGCCTTCCCTCTGCTGAGGGCTGGGACTGGGCTTGGCAGGTGGAGGCCAAGACAGCCCCCGTCCTGCAAAATGTCACAGCTCAAGGGGGAAAGCGCAGTTGCATGTCTCACGGGGACTCAGGCCCTGCACACAACCAGCCTCTGCATGTTTAGCAGAAGTCAGGAGGAACCCAGGGATTCTTGTTGCGGGAACTAGAAAGTGACCCCTTCTTCTGGGCAGGTGCGGCCAGCACATCACAGGCTGCCATAGCAGCCTGTGCTCGCCCCTCATCCCGGTCTCTTGTCAACCAGTACAATTAAACATGTGGGCCCTGTGCGTGGATAGGAGCAGAACAAACTGAAAGGAGCTGTTTGCTGTGTGCCAGAGACATGCTAAAGACGAGTTCAGGTCGTGCACGACGTAGCTCAGCTCCCCAAGTCCGCATCTGGCTTTGCTGCTAGCCGCTGAACCTCTCTGCGGCCCTGCACATGGTGGTGGTGATGGTCCCTGCTTTGGGGAGTGTTACACACACACGTGCAAGCGCACACACGCAGCACATCTGAGCATCAAAAGTTTGCAGTTACCAGGCCAGGGAGCCTTGCTGCAGCTGGCAGAGGCTGGCACGGGAATGAAAGGGGTTGGGTGAGGGGATCCCCAGGGGCTGTTAATTGTTTATAAATGTATGATGCACACAGCAGAGCAATTGTGTAAAGGAAGCGGGACAGGTTTTCTCAGCTTGACAACTTGCTCAAAACAGGACCAAGGAAGCAACTCAGATGGGGCTGGTGTCCACCGTGCCATGGCCAGCCCCCGTGGCCCCGGACAGGTGCAGTGTGCCCAGGACAACTGTAGGACCCCCTTGGCCCCATCTTAGCCAGTCGTATCTGTGCTGGAGCCCCCAATGGCCGTTCGCCAAGCACTGCCTCAGCCCAAGAGGACGGGGCCTCAGCCAGGCAGGCAGAGGCCAGTGCAGGCAGGAAGCAGGGCTGTGGATACTTTGCTTCCAGAAGGGATAACGCCTAAGCATTTTAAATCCTCCTTACCCACTGCAGAGCAGAGTCCAAATGTCATTTTCTGCTTCCGAGCTGTGGGTGAGAGAGGAAACCAGGGAGGGGTCTCCTCGAAGTGGCCCTGCGACCAGGGCTGATTTCTTCCTTCTTTGTGTACACACCCTCGCAGGAGGCTCGGACAGGGTGCTTCTCCAGAGTCGCAGTCTTGTCTCAAATGGTCTCTTTCCACCCTGGCCCTAAAGCCAGCCTTGCCCAGGATGTGGCCCTAGGTGGAGACTTGAGGGCTCCAGGGAAGGTGGGGCAGCTGCACGTCTGGCCCATTTTGTGTGCTGGGGTCAACCAGACTGGCTGGGTGGGAACCCTCTCTGAGGGATTTACTCCCCAGTGCTGCTCCAGGAAGCAGTGTTTGACATTCTGCGTCAAGTCTGGCTCCCTCTTCTGATAAGTGAAGACTAAGGCCAGTGAGGGGAGAGGACCTGTCCAGGGCTACTTGGAGCCTGGCCTGGGACCAGGCTGGCTGTGCTGACTCAAGGTTTTAGCCTCATGTCTCCTACCAGGATACAGTGGTGCAGTCCTTTTCTTTATTCTTTTGTTTCCCCCAGTATTGGAGAGCTAACCCCGCGGTACGCTACCGCTGAGCTACATCTCCAGCCCTTTTTATTTTTCAATTTCGAGATCGGATCTGGCCAAGTTGCCCAGGCTGATCCTGAACCAGCAGTCCTCCTGCTTCAGCCTCCTAAATTGCTGGGATTATAGGTGTGTGCCGCCTAGAACAGCGCCTTGCCCCTGTCTGCCTGCCTGCCTGCGCCCCAGGGAAGCAGCGGGTGGTCAGAGGTTTTCCCAGGGTGGCCTCCAAGACCCAGCCCCCAGGGAGTGTTGGGGAGAAGGGTCCCAGGTGCTGCCTCCCACCAGGTGTGAACGGAGTCGATTACTCGCGGTACCCGGCGCGGGAGACCCAGCTGCAGTGGCTTGGCTACTACCTCCAGGCCCAGAAGGGCTCAGCTGTGACCCCTCGGGAGGTGGAGCGGCTGTGTGTGCAAGTCAACAAGTTTGCCCTGGTGAGTGCCCCGGACTGTGGGGGGGGGGCACACCAGCCTCCTGCTCAGCCCATCCTGGGGCGGCCTGGGAAGTCCTCTCAGCACCCCTTAACCCAGACCTGCCTTGCCACATCTAAGTGTTTCCTAGAAAAGTCGCTAGTTCTTTAGAGTGCGTAGCTCTTTCCACGGTCTGGCTTCTGCCCTTCGTGCTGCGGCCTGTGCTCTTGGGTCTCTAGAGGAGGCGGGTGTGGACTCTGACCCTCCCCGTGGCCGCCTGCCCTGGCTCAGGGCGCCTGCTGTCTTCCCTGCGGCTCCCTGAGCTTTGGGGTCCCTATTCTGAGCCCCACTTGTAAGGAAGCCCGTCTCCACTGGTGTGGGCCCGGGGATTGCTCTCTGCCTTACCCACGTCAGCCTCTTGCTAAGATTTCGGCAGAATCAGTCACACCTGCCGGGGTACCCAAGTCACGGAGGGGAACAGAATAGTCGGACAGGCTGTGTGGCCAACCCGAGTGAGCGACTTTGTCATGGGGAGGGAGATACGGGGTGGTGGCGCTGCTGTGCCTGGTGTTTGGGGACTTAGGGCCCATTCCTCTTGGGTTCCTGGGAAAGCAGAGTTCACACTCAGTAAGTGCCCCATTGGGACTTCTGGGTTACCAGGGCTGGACTCATTTTCCAACAAGACTGGGGAAGGGGTGGAGGTCGCTATGGTGGTGGTGGGGGGGGCGTCTTCCAGCTACCCAGGGCCCTGGTGCCCATGAAGCTAGGCACTGCTGTCCACGCTCCTCTGGTCTCCCCAACCCCCCCGAACCCCTCCACTGGCACTTGGCCGGCGCTCTGGCCTGGGATTCATCTTGGCCTTGACAACTCCCAGAGATTCCCAGAAGCAGCTCAGTCGGGCTGGGGGCCTCCTGAAGGCCCTAAAAGCAGCACTGGGGTTGCGGTAGAGCTGGCTCTACTTGTCTTCCTGGCAGGACAGCAAAGCCCCCAGACTGTCCAGTAGTGGCTTGGCCTTGGCAGCCTTGCTATCTCCACCAACGTCCTGGCTCTGCCTTCCTGGGCACTGGAGGGGCCCTGCCAGCTAACGCCCTCTGGTCTGTTTGCAGGCGTCCCACTTCTTCTGGGCCCTCTGGGCGCTCATCCAGAACAAGTACTCCACCATCAACTTCGACTTCCTCAGGTAAGCGTGGGGCAAGGTGTGAACTTTCGAGCCAGGGTGTGGGAACAAAGGTCATTCCAGTCCGGTGGGGGGGGGTCCCCACCTCTGCTCTGCCGACATGGCCCCCCTGCAGCCCATTTCCAGTGCGGCACTGGGCAGGGAGGCCCTGGAGGTCCCAGCATAGTTCTCAGGCCCCCCACGTCCAGGACAGACCCACCCCGCCCTCCCCACTCTACCTTGCCACTGACCCTGCCGCCAGAGCCTGCCAGCGAGGGATGCCCCTGGGAGGACTCAGCTCTGTCTGCTCCTTGAGGCTTGGTGATACTGGGGCCAAACCTATCCTGCGCTTGACAACTGAGAACTCCAGGGGCCCTCATTTTGAAATACATATGCGACCCTAGAGGCCAGGCACCTTTCCTTCATTCTGGTCTAGTCTGGCTGGCTCCCGGGAGTCACAGACATTAGAAAAAGGCAGGCTGAAAGCCCAGCAAGATAGCTTATACCTTTCAGAATCTGAGCTATTAAAAAAAAAAAAAGAAAATGGGCATGGCAGTTCCCACCTCTAATCCCAGCCCTTGGGAGGCAGAGGTAGGGCGATCGCCATGAGTTCGAGGCCAGCCCCGGATACTTTAGTTCACCAGGCTCACCTACATCTCAGAAAACCAAAAAGAATGAAACCAGAAAGTGAGTACTGGCAAGGATGTGGGGAAATGGAAACCGACACGCGCTGTTTGTGTGAATGTAAATGGTGCACCCGCGTGGGAAACAGTAAGGTGGTTCCTCAGACACTTAAAAATAGAATGGCCATGTGATCCAAGAATCCTGCTTCTGGGGATACTTCCAGAAGAAGTGACAGCAAGGTCTACGGAGAAGCATTTGTACACACATTCCTAGCAACATGCATGGCAGCTAAGAAGGGAAGCAGCCCAGCCGTCCATCAACTGCTGGACGGCTAAGAATATATTATTATGTCTGAAAAAGGAAGCCTGGCACCCGCTACAGCGTGGATGGACCTAGAGGACATTGGTCTAAGTGAAATAAGCCAATTACAAAAAGACAACTACCGTCCGTTTCCATCGGGTGTAAGAGGTAACGAATTAGTCAAATTGGTAGAAACAGACAATAGGATGGCAACTGTAGGGGAAAAGGGGAACGGGAGAACGGGAGTGTTGTTTAATGGGTGTAGAGTTTGTTTTGCAAGATGAAAAAGTTCTGGACATTTCCTTGCGCAACAATATGAATATCAACATTGCAGATCTGTGAAAACAAAACCCCACGTAAACATGTTTGCAGAAGGACTGCTCCAGTCTGACCTATGAAAATCTATTTAAAACAGGCGCTGACAAGTGGGGGGGTCCCAGCAGGACCCCCTTCCCTGGCTTCCTCCTCATACCCAGCTTCCCTCCCGGCCCGCAGGTACGCGGTGATCCGATTCAACCAGTACTTCAAGGTGAAGCCTCAAGTGTCCACCTTGGAGATGCCAAAGTGACTGGAACCCCAGCCTCTCCCCTGCCCATCTGCTGGGGTCCACACCCTTGGACAAGGTGGGAGAGGGGACCTCTTTCTCCTGCCTGGAGGGGCTCACAGGACCCAACCCGAGGGGGGGCCCACACCTTGCCAGGCTGGGGCAGAAGTGCCTGCAGACAGCCAGAGCCTGGGCCACCACTGCCCCAGGGAAGCACACCGTCCCCGCCCTAGGCCTGCTGGCGCTGGGCTGCCTTAGAGTGTGTCTGACCCTTCCTGGTGGGGAGAGGGGAGGGTTCCTTTCTACCTCCAGGGCTCCAGTCTGGCCACTGTATGCCCCACACGGGAGGTGCTGAGCCTCAGACCAGCCTCAGGCACTCTGATCACTGATGTCCACCGCCTGGGGGAGGGGCCTGGAAGGGACACGGAGGCTTCACTGCAGCCTGCTCGAGAGCTCTCACTCGCTCAGCCGGCTCACCCCCTTCCCAAGCTGCAGACAGGAAACGTCTCCTTCCGCTGTCCCTCTGCAGCCTGCTGGGGAGGCGAGTGTGGCAAGCCCTGACCTTACGAAGCCTCAAGGGTGGGGTGGCTGGCACCAGAGCCAGCAGCTCCTGCCTGGGTCTCTCGTGCCCTGCGGGCTTCCCTTCCCAGAGTGTCCACCATCTCCACTTTCCATCCCTGGGGGTAGACCCAAGGTCAATGGGAATGACCAAATGGGGTCAAGGGGCTGGAGGCCCAGGGTCTGCAGGGCCCTGCGCAGGACAGATTGTGAAAGCACTGAGCTCGGCGTCCCTGTTAGCAGCCTCCACCTCCCTCTGTCCTCAAAGGTCCTCCTCGTTCTGGCTCATACTGTCATTTGTAAATTATCATTGTTTTATGCAATAAAACGCTCGTTTCCGGACTGCTCTGAGGGGCAGTGGCGGGGACAGGACTTGGGGTGGGATTGGTAACCCCATCCTGAAGTCACCGCAGCAGTGGCCTGCACACTCCCGCCGCCCTGGCAGCCTAGGCAGAGTGGTTCTCAGCTCTCGTGCCTTTGAGGTCGCTAGAATCCTCAGCCCTGGGAGCAGGATCAGGCTGTGACTACAGGAACTAGGGGCAGCCAAGGTGAAGAGGTAGTGGAACACGGCTCGTGCTCACAACCTCCTACGCTTTGGCTCCCAGCTGCGGTGTGGGGAAAGGGCTGCCCCTCCGGACAGCATGCGAGAGCGATTCCTGGGCGCAGCCTGGCACTTGCTCAGGAAGCCAGGCGGAAGAGCAGAAAATCAAAAGTGAAAATATCTCCAGAGGCCTTAAGGGCAGCAGTGGCAACAGCAGAAGCGGCCGCGCCAGGTGGACTCTGGTTGTTTGGCTTTTGCCTGCAGATGTTTCACGGTGTCATGGCAACCACTGGCGCAGGCAGCGGCTAGTCTGAGTGGAGGACTAGATTGGGCCGGTTAGGGGTGGTGCCAGGGTGGCTCTGCCCCGGCGACTGCAAGGCAGGTCTGCGCTGGCTTCGCCCAGAGCCACCTGTGAAGCTGAGGGCAGAATTAGCTGTGAAGTCAGCTTCATTTCCAGCCTCTTGAGGCCTTGATGTCACAGCAGGGGTGGCTGTGACGGGCCAGGCCACCATGTGCACGGGGGTGTTCATCCCAGCACCCTCCCACTGCCTTTGCCGACAAACATCTCCATCCTTTGGGCCCCAGGGGCTCGGGCAGGTGGTGTGGGGGAAGGAAGTGGTATATAAGACCCCCCATTACCCTCAACAGCCCAGCTCCCCCTCTCGTCACTGTCCAAAGGCTAACTGGCTCAGTCCCTGGCCTGGGCACCCCCCTGGGCCCCTTGCTAGATGCCCTACACGAGCTCCAGGGGGCAGAGGACAAGCTTGTGGCCCAGCCTTCCCGGTAGTAACGACCAGGACACACTGTTCCCAGCCTCTGCGACTCACCTGACCCCATCGGGCTTCTCCTGGGGCAGGGGGTGGGGCCCTAGCCCAGCCAAGCTGACTCAGGGCGAGGCGTGACTGCGCCAGCCGCTGGAATGAGGCCGGCAAGACAAAGGTACCTGCACTACCTTTGGCAGCGCCGCCCCCACCAGAGGCCACAGAGGACCTGGGAAAGGGCGGCGAGAGAAATGAGCAAGAGGCGAATTCCCAGGAGAGCCCTAGGAAGCAGGGGTCAAGGAGACCAGCAGTTCTGCCCGACACCCACTAGGGGGCAGGCTGCGGGAGGAAGGCGCGGCCAGGCCGGGGGACGTGGGGGCGGGGGGTTCTCGCTACTTTGAGGTCCTATGACCTGGAATCTAGCATCCGGACTTTAAGAAGCCCCTTCACCTCACCGGTACTCAGGCCTGTGCTTCAATATAGCGTGTGTCTGCTCTTGAATTTCTTTGTTGAAAAGTAGTTAAACCACAAACATACCAGCACCTCGCCCCTGGCCATCTTGTCCGGCCCACCAGATCCTAGTCTCGCCTAAACCTCCCTTGTCCTGTTAACTGTAAGGAAACGGCTACCAAGACCCCTCGAAGCAGGGTGCCCACTTCTGGGCCTTTCCAGAGAGGGACAGCTGTCCCCTCCCTTGCTGGGAAGGTAAGCCTCTATTAATCCACCCCAAGTCTCTTTCACAAGAATTGCCATTGCTGACCTCATCCTATGCTGACGGGATTAATTTTTAACCACAAGTTGTCCTTCTACAGATCATAATTTACATGCATCTCGAAGAGTTTCAGTCTTTCGTCCTGCCCCTTCAGGCCTCTCATTTTCCTCTCCTACTGGGACACTGAGGCCTTTGAAACTGTCTTTCAAACCTAAGGTCATGGAGCCCAAAAGCATGCTAGAGACGGGGGGGGGGGGCCTCCCCGACGCCGGCCACATGGCTCCGGTGTCACAGGTGTGGGTAGGCTCCTTCAGGCGGGGCAAGGCCTCCCTCTTTACTCAAATTTTGGCCTGGGCCTCCCCGTTCTCTGCCACCAGGGGGCAGCAGTGCCCAGGCTGCTGGCCCTTGAGGAAATTCTGGATTTAGGCCAGCCTCCCCCCTTCCTCATACAGACCCAAGGATTCTGAAATGGTCTGTCTTTATTATGCCATCAGAAAACAAATGTGCTGGTTAAGTTACTCATTATCTTATTAACAAAATAAAGCACTATCTATGTTTACAGTCATAAAAAAGAAACAGCCTGGAAGAAGAGGATGTGGGGAGAGGACATGAGGGGGGCGGGCACCACATCTGGCCCTGTGGGATTAGGATCCCCAGACTGACCCCGGGAGGCTGGAGACCTTGAGGTCCAGTACCAATGGGACTGATGTTCTCAGGAAATACAACCAGGGCCAGCCAGTGGGGAGCGTTCCGGGCACGGGGAGGGGTGAGAGTCTTAGCAGCCCAGTCAGGAATGGGGAACACCCACCTGCAGCTCAAACGAAGGCCAGCTGCCATGCGGGCCCCGTCACTGACAGAAAAGGGGGCGCCACAGCTCTGCCAACTCCTGGGACCCAGCCTGCGCCCAGGGGCTGGGCACCGCGACAAAGTCCAGTGGAAGCTGAGGCCATTCTTACGCTGCTTGAGCTAAAAATGGCTCCGTGGGAACGACTGGCAGAGCCGGGGAGGCAGCCAGGGGTCAGGGGGGCTGGTGGACCCAGGGCGGAGCAGGGGCTACAGAGAATCCAGAGAGCAGCGAGGCCAGGGCCAGACACAGAGCAAGGGACAGGGACAGAGAGACGCACGCAAGGTCACACAGAACCTGAGACACCCAGACTGACAAAGAGGTAGCAATTTGGGGACATGGAGAAGCACAGAAGGGGCCCCCAGAGAAGTGCCAGTGGCCCTGAGAGACATCTGCAGGAAACTGGCGGGCAATGGTGCCCGGCACGCAGGGGGCACGCAATAAATACCTTGTGAATGAACTGATGGAAACACGCATGTACACGGACATGCGCGTGCGCGCACACACACACACACACACACCCTACACACACACACAGCAGCCAGAGGCACGAGGGTCTTGGCAGAGACAGGGACAGACAGACCTGTTCGCAGCGTGAGGGGAGTGTGGGTGGAGGGGGTGTTGGTCCCACAAGACAAGCACGGAAACAAAGCATGTGACGCGGGGGGAGGTGTGCACACCCCGCGTGGCAGACCCGACAGAAGGGAGCGTCGCCCGGAGTCCCCCGGCCAGATGCCTGTCCCTACCCTGCCACTTCTGCCGCCAAGGTCCTGGCTGTTCCGTGTGGCCAAGGCGTCGGAGGAGGGCCCTCCCCCACCAAAGTATCTACAAGTGCACAGCTCTGCCCAGCCCGGGCTGCCCAAGTTGAAGTACCAACAGGCCCACTCAGTCCGTGAGCACCACCAGCTCCCCGTCGCTCTTCTCGTCGGCCTCCGAGTCCTCGTCCTCGCTGTACCGGTACATCTCGCCATCGGCCACCGAGTGCCTGTCCTCGGTGCCCTCCCCCGCCTCCCTGAGGCTGCAGGTGTTGACGATCACAGGCATGTTGGGGTCCAGGATCTGGGGCACACAGTGCTCCACCAGTGGCTGTGCCAGGGGCGCCCCTGCAGCCCGGGGGTACAGAACATCCGACGGGCTCATCTGCACCTGGCCTGCCTGTGAGCTGAGGGGCAGAGGGGGCGGGGTTAGGGGGTTCCGCGATGTGCACCCTGCCCCCGTCTGCCTCCCTATGGCCAGAGTCACCGTCAGCCACTGTGATCGGGGGACCCACGCATTTTGGGTGCAGTGCTTGGGGCAGGAAGCTTGCTATATACGGTGCCAGCTTCAGCGCCTCCGAATTTGTTCGTCAGCAGTGGGCTCTCCGGGCACTCTCAGCCACGCACCGCGCACACACACACAGGCAGCACCCCCCGCCCCAGGCCGATGCACACGAGTGCCCAACTCCCCCGAGCCTGACCGCCCGCTCACGGGATGGCGAAGCTCTGACGCGCGTCCTGGCGGCGGGTCCGCATCAGGGCCTTGTACTCGCCCACGCGCAACCGCTTGCCCTCCACGATGCAGGTGCGCTTGGGCCGCGGCTTGTACTTGTAATCCGGGTACTTCTCCAGGTGCTGCCGGCTTAGCCGCGCCTGCTCCTCGTAGTAAGGCTGCTTCTCCTGGTTGCTCATGGACTTCCAGCGCGAGCCTGGCCCGGCCCCAGGCAGAGAGTCAGGGCCGGGCTCTGTGGGCCCTGCAGCCCTGGTCCCCGCGTGAGTAAAAACACTTCAAGGGGCAGGTCCAGTGTGCAGCCCGATGCTGAGGAAATGAAGCTGACCACGTGGGCAGCCGACTGTCTACTAAAGAGGGTGCCACCCGCATCCCCGAACAGCCCAGCACCACCCCAGGCCTTCGATCCAGACAGGACTCTGCTCAGGCAAAGGACTTTGGGGTCAGGCCTGCTGGGGGTGCACCAAAACGGGGGGTGCTCACATAGCAGGTGCCTGGCAGGTCCTGGGTTCAATCTCCAGCACCACAGAAACAACACCCACAACCTTGGTGTCCCAGACAAGAGACACCGACACAGAAGGAGCCTCAGTCCTGAGGACAACTGCTCTCATCCAGTGCCATCTGCCCTGCCCTGCAACCCTCCCTGGCCTCCAAGAGACAGGTCATTTTCATAACCTTTCTACTAGGAACCCAAGAACACAGTTTCTCCTGTCTTTTGCCCTAGGCAGTTCCAGGGGTCTGGGCAGAAGAGGCTAGGGAGAGTAAAGAGCACACACAGAGGTTCTTGTGTCCTACCAGAATCAGTCAGACCCCAGAGGGCCCACCGATGGGTCCTCACCGAGAATCTTGCTGATGCTGGAGTTATGCATGTCCGGGAAGGCTTGGAGGATCTTCCTCCGCTCATCCTTGGCCCACACCATGAAGGCATTCATGGGTCTCTTGATGTGGCTGTTGTTTCGGGACTCGGGGAAGTGGCGGGAGCCTGGGGGACAGGAACAATGTCAGCCAGGCAGTTTATCAGCTGCGGACTAGTGACATACCCTGTGTGGCCACCAGGAGGCGCGCTGGGGCGCTTCCCGAGGCTGCAGCCCGGGACTGAGCCCACAGCCCTCACCGTCCACGTCACAGCTCAACATGGCTTCCTCCAGAGGGTGCACACAGCTCTCCTCCAGCCGCTCCTTGGCCGGGGATGAGTCCAGGCCGATGAGGTCCTGGGGTCGACAGGGACAACGTGAACATGAGCCGCCTCTGTGCGCCCACCACGCTGCGCCCATCTCTCGGACTCCTCTTTTCCTCCCCAGTACCTTGCGGAACGGGGTGCTGGGGGAGCTCTCCAAGGCCCCACTGTGGCTGTGCAGCAGCTGCCGGGCGTCCTGGATGGCTCTGGTGACCGCATCCCCCTCTCCCAGGAAGCCTGAGAGAGGAAGGTGGGAAGGGGGGCTCAGGGTTCTCCCCAGGCGGGGCCCAAACCCCGTCAGCTTAACGCGTCTCCCTCCGTGGTCACCTGGGTTTTGATGCCGCCCCTCCCCAGCCCCTGCGCACACGGGCCGCTGTCCGTGTCAGCCGGCGGCACCCGAGGCCAGCACCCCAGACCAGCAGTGCAAGGCCCGGGTGTGATGCACGGAGGGAGGACACGACCAAGATCTGGACCCCCCTCGGTGCTCTCCCGCCAGAGGTCCCTGGACAGCTGCAAGAGCTTACCCAGAGGCAGGCTGGGCGGGCTGGACGGCCGGTCTCGTGCGGCCGTGCCGTGGCTGGGGGGCCGGGCCCCAGAGGTGCCCATCTTCAGACTGGGGGAGCTGGAGCTGTTGGGCAGCTCAGGAGCCTTGGGCTTGGCTGTGAGGTTCAGGGGCTGGGAGGGCTCCTGAGAGACAGGCAGCTGTCAAAGGGTGGGCGCAGCGAGGGGAGGACACGGAGCCAGCATGAGACCAGCACACGCCGGGCAGCGCCTCGGGGACAGCAGGCCAGAGCAGGGAGGGGAGGATGGCAGCCAGCGGGCCCGGGCCCGTACCTGCAGGGGGTGATGGGCGGCCATGGCCCCTGGCCTCTTCACCACGGGCGCAGGGGGGCTGTGCAGCAGCTGCAGCGGGTACTCCACTGCGCAGAGTGCGGAAAAGCGGGGAGAAAAGTCCCGGGTGAGTTCAACAGCGGTCCCGCTGGGCAACGGGCCCGGAGGTGTCCCCGCACAGTTCCGACCAGCCTTGGGCTTGGCTGTGAGGTTCAGGGGCTGGGAGGGCTCCTGAGAGACAGGCAGCTGTCAAAGGGTGGGCGCAGCGAGGGGAGGACACGGAGCCAGCATGAGACCAGCACACGCCGGGCAGCGCCTCGGGGACAGCAGGCCAGAGCAGGGAGGGGAGGATGGCAGCCAGCGGGCCCGGGCCCGTACCTGCAGGGGGTGATGGGCGGCCATGGCCCCTGGCCTCTTCACCACGGGCGCAGGGGGGCTGTGCAGCAGCTGCAGCGGGTACTCCACTGCGCAGAGTGCGGAAAAGCGGGGAGAAAAGTCCCGGGTGAGTTCAACAGCGGTCCCGCTGGGCAACGGGCCCGGAGGTGTCCCCGCACAGTTCCGACCCTGCCCTCCCCAGCCCCCAAACACCGCTGCGGACCCCTGTTCCCTCCTCCCCGTCGCCCCTGCACTGTGATCTGCATCTTCATTCACCCTGTGCCGCCCCTCCCAACCCACCCTGCAGTTCCCACGGGGGTAGCGAGGGAGGGGACACCGTGGACTCGTTCAACATTGCTAGTGTCCCACTCCTACCGTGCGCAGGGTGCACCCAAAGCCACCCGTTGGGAGGCGCCTCATGTGCACAATCCTCTGACCCAGGGTGCAGCACACAGCAGGTGCCCACAGAGCCATTCAACAGCAGTGCCGGATCTGAACCCAAGTCCTCGAGACGCCACAAATCCTTCCCCTCAAGCCCTACTCTCTTCTACCTACCCAACCCCACCGTCCCTCGGCCAGGCCAGGCACCGCGGAGGTGGGGCAGTTCAGGCTGAGATAAGCCTGTGTACAGATCACTAAGCACGAGGCAGGTGGTGATAAGAGCCACAGGTGGCATGGCAGGGACCTCTGTTCCAGCCAGGCAACCACAGCAGGCCTCTCGGGGAGCAAAACTGGACATGGGCAAGGTGGACACCAAGGACCGGAGGCCAATTCAGAGGAGCCTGTACTCCAGCTGCAGGGCCCGGGCCCTGGCCGAGGCTGTGGGGCATGGCCGGGACCGGCAGGGCTGGCTTTACAGCTGTCACCTCCCGAAGCAGTCCTGGGCCGCAGGTCTACTCCCTCCCTGCCCAAAGGCAACAACCCTCTCGTCACCCCAACTCCTCACTGATCTCAGCAGCCCCCCCCATCCTGCCTCCAGTGCTCTGCACCCCAGCACCCACAGCCAGCGAGCACATGTGCCGCTCAAGGCCAAGTGCACCCCACTGTCTACTCAGGAACCCCAAGCCCAGGCTCCATCCCAACCCGTTGCATGCCCCCCTCAACTCCCAGCACCTAGCACCTTCTGCCCTGGAGTCCAGGCCTCCTTCCCCACCAAAGCCACCTTCTGGGGAGCCCTCCCAGACCGCCCCGGCCTGTGGGGTCCCCACTGCATCCCCAACTTCAGTGCCAGGACGCGAGGAGTGACCAGGGCAGGGACGAGTGTGAAGTAGGAACAAGGTGGCTGGAACTGGGGAGACGCCGGGCCACAGTTACTACTGGAGAAGCCTGGAGAAGCTAACGCTCTGGCCCCTGCAAGCTCCGGAGCCGGAGGGGGCATCTTCCGTGTGGAAAGAGTACTGCGGCTGGGGAGGGGCCCTTTCGGCTCTCCCACGGGACAGGGCCAATACAGAAATGCCGCGCGGTGTGAATGGTGAAGACCCCGGGGCTGTCCTGACCTCCGCACGAGCCAGCTCAGGGCAGCCCCTTCACTCCGCTCACCTGGCTTGCAGGGGATGGGCTGGATGGGCAGGGCCAGCTGGGAGTCGGGGGCGACGGGCAGAGGCTGGTGGCTCGGGGGGAAGGCTGGGATCATGACATAAGGCATGTTGACCTGCTGAAGGCAAAGGACCTTGCGTGAGCGCCGAGGCCCGACGAGCTCCCAGCCTGGTCCACCCAGATCTCTGTGAGCCCTGCCTCCCTGCCCTTGAGTCTCAGCTGGGAGGATGACACCCGCTACCCTGCCTGCCCCTTAGAAGGGGACCACAGGGGCTGGGGATTTAGCTCAGCGGTTCGCCCGAGTTCAGTTCAAACCCCCGTACCAAAAAAAAGAAGGGGAACACGGTCGAGGGGGCTAGAGCCAAAAGAAGGGCCACCCTCAGGTCCGCCGGAATCCCGGATCCCCAGCGTCACCCCCTTGCCTCCTCGCGGGTAACCTTCTTACCTGTATCTGCTGCTGAAGGAGGTTGATCTTATGCTGCTGCTGGATCAGCTGCTGCTGCTGCTTGGCGATCTAGGAGGCAGGAGCAGGCCGAGGGGTCACGGGACCCGGCCTGGCACCGACCGCACCCGGAGCCTGCCCAGCCCCAGCCCCAGCCCCAGCCCCGCCT